AGTAACGTGTTCAAAGAAGTTTAAAAAATAATTCAAAACGATAAAGTATTAAACAAAATTAGAAGAGTCCCCATTGTTTTTAAAAACAATAGAGTAATCAAAGATTGTTAGAAAATCCTACAAACATAGAAAAACTTAAATGTTAACCGAGTAGGCAGAAAGAGCAGTGAAAATTCACCGAACTTTTTAGCCATAATTTAATTGGCGCGTTGTCGGCCTTAACGCAAAAGGGGTGATTGAAAAGTAACTGGGAATAATTTGAGAAGGGGATACGGTCTGAGAGCCATCATTAATGGAGATAAAAAAGGTATTTCGTAAATCTAACTAAGCGACCATCATATAGACACAAACCCTGCCTGTTTCTGCAACGCAAACACTACGGCTTAGATGCGAAGATGTCCATGATGTAACGGATCATAATTGTATCATGTTCCTTAGTCAATATCTCAATGCCGGGGTCGCTTTGCGCGCCGTTAGTTTTACTACTACAATAAATACTGCCCAGATTATAGAAATCGAATTCGGAATTCAGCAACGTATTGTGAATATCGCGCGCACATAAATAATAATACTTGCAGAATAAAAGCTAAATTACAATTTAAAAAATTAAATAGAAGAATTGTCAATCGTCTATAAAAGACGTTTATTTACAGATGGTTACTCAATTTACCTTCTGTAAAGCGTAAATAAACCGTTTATTTAAATTCAAAGCAATAAATTCATTTCGAAATAGTCGCCGCTCTTGTGTTACGTCAGAAAAACGTAATCATAGTCGACGAATTTAACGCCTATTCTACAGTAGGAGGGTACCGAAGTGTCGTCATAGAGCTGTGACGTGGCTTATGCAAACAATAATACGGTGCTCGAATACAGACGGCCCGTTAATTTTGGGATAATGACGAAACTAAATGACATAGCACCATCGGCGCTCGTCCGTACGGTAGAAGGGACTTATACAATTGCCTCACATACACCGTCTGAATTTGAATGCCCCAAAACCACTGAATTACAATAGACAAGTAAGAACATCGATGGCTTGTGTAACAGCGTGGCCCTTGCGAAATATCGCGGTGCGTAAGGTCACTATCGTAGTTTTAATTTTGCACGCTTTCATAATGTTCATTTGACGTAAACGACCTCCGATTGATCAAGGTGTCACACTGAATTCAGATCATTCCACATTGTACTAATATTCAGTGTATATAAAAAATGTATCAGAGAAATGATTACGACTTATAAGATCCTACAGATTAGGAAAAAGAAATATTTGTTGACTTTCCGGGATGAGGAGTATTGTATGCGTGTTTTTCTCCATCAGCAGTAGTTCTAGCAGCTATGTGATTAGTGTCGCTAAGTCGGGTCCGTCTTAACTAAAGGTGTAAGAGATACTAGCACCAAACTGATGTGACAATTAGTAATATGGATGTCGTATCCATACCGTTGCCCTACTTCAAAGATTAAAAATGTTTGAATCTATAGAAGGGAAGAACTTCTTCAGAATAGAATTGAATGTAACATGTTTCTTATTATCGTCACGAGACGTCCTTCCTTGTCGCATAGTTATTAGCTAATTATCAATCACATTATAATTATCAGTGCATCGCGTAAGGCTGCGAGTCACGTGTTGTCTATATTGTGAGGCGAGCACGTGCAGCTGAGACGATACCGATGAGATAAACTGTTGTTTTGAATAAACTGTGGGCCCTGCCCGTACTGCTGGCCATGTGACTGAATTAATTATTTGTATTTATATCCATCTCGTAAATATTCAATTAATTATCATTAAAATAAAATAAAACTATAATGTATCATTTGATCATATATATATATGTATGTATATATGATCAAATTATAAATTTAAAAAATTCAAAGTGTTCAACAATCAGTGTATCAACAATATTATACTCCTGGGATAAAAACGAATAGAATGAAGTTTTGATGATTCAGTCGTTTAGGATATAGGAGTTGTCAATAGAATGGATAATATTATGTAGTAGTAGGTATAAGAAACAAACAAAAAACGTACTGCCGTTCAATCTGTAAATCGCAAAAGCAGCTAAAACATTTTTAACTTCGATAGTATTTGTAAGAACTTCTAATGTGTGTTCAATATCACGGCCTAATGTTTGCGAATTGCGCTAAATCCTCCTTGAGACATGCGAACGTTTCCTAACAGTATGGTTTACATTTAGAGCACATAGCAACAGCATATTTAGAAGTATCTAGCAATCTATTGCTTAGCACATCGCTAATAACAGTACTACATACATACAGTGAAATTTTGGGTTACCTCGAAACAGAAAAAGACAATTTTTTACGTTGTGGATTAAATAATTAATTAACTAATACGACGTGGAGATGGATATGTAGATGAAAGGTAGAAAGATGATTTAGAACGCTGTATGGTAATAGAATGTAATCATCATCACCAGCACACTGTACCTCCCCACTAAAGGATACATACCCGAAATAAGGGGTTGCTAGGCCATAGTCAATCAGGCTGGCTTAGTGCGGATTGGTTGGCTTTACACATATCTTTAAATTTCTTCGCCGATAAGTGCAGGTTGCATCACGATATTTTCCTTCATCATAGAACGGCGGGTACATTATGCATATATAAAATTATAAAATTGAAAATCATATTAGAACCCAAGACCTGTAGATTACAAGTCAAGTGCTTAAACCCCTGTGCCACTCTCTTGTCGGCCGATAGGATATTAACTAATATTCAATGTAGAAACAATTGCTATAATTACAGTCATGAGCAGACCTTATTGAGATAGTTGCGAAGCTAACAACTGTGCAAGCGACAAGTCCAAGGATAGTTTACAATAGATGCATTGCCAAAGTTACCTTGTACTCTAAGAGTTCTGCGGTTCATGTAACTTTTTCACAATTTAGTATGCCGATCGAACTCGACCACTGACCTTCGCCGGGATATTACGCGTTGACTACTAACTGTCTAAATGCCTATGTGAAAACGAATGCTCATAAAATGACGACACAGTAGACGAGCAATACGCTTCTAAAATTGTAAAATCGAATAACTGAACATCACACAATTAATATGTGAACCGGAATATCAATAAAAAATTCAATTAATGTAAAGACTTTTATATTCTAACGCTTTTAGGGTGGAGATTGTTTTTTTTATTCTAAATAATAATATGGCCAAAAATCAGGATGTCGAATTGTATAACCGTCAATAGCGTTGCGGGCGCTGGGAGATGAATAAAGTAGATCCAACCCCTATAACCTTGAATTTCTGGTTCAGATGTCAGAATACACGTGATACGTTTAAAGTCCGGTTCCACTCAACGACGTACATATTTTTTTTATTAACTTACGAAAATGACAGGACCGGCAAATTAAAATTGTTCAAAAGCTGAGAAATTTTTTACATAATATGATTTTCAATTCAGGTAAATTCGTAAAAAAATTTGTATTTTTTAAAAATTAAAATTATATTTGTATACAAATAAAAGAAAATTAAGTGCTAGGAGCGTCATTGCTTGCCATTTCGTAATCTAAACCCTTCTTAATATTCCGTCTTTTGCAATGCATAAACATTTTAAATGTAACGCAGTGGAAGCGATCCTTAAATCCTTGAACTTGTTAAGTGAGGTTACTGAGATTAAATAATATTGAAAAGGCCCCCTTCGGCCCTTTGAATACTTTAAAATCTCGAGGTCAACGACATAAAATAGGCGACTGCGTCATATTCATTTAAAGGCATTATATAACCCATTGAATGCCACACTTTGGACGACATTGGACTCTAAAAATCTTTAGAATTCCAATAATAAAAGTACGGGTATGTTCATTGGGGAAAGAAGTTATAATACAATTGTTAGGTAAATGGGATTATACAATTATACAATGTTGTAGAATCTTGTATGATTAGTGGCAGAGCTCTTACAAATAGAATCCTGCCATTGAACCTGTGTCAAGTTTCATCCAAGTCAATACGATATATGAGGTCGTAGATTATTACTATTCTATTACAATAATAAGATGCACTTTATACAAGATCTCATTGCCGAAGTCCGTGTTCCGTGACCAATATCTGTATCTATTATCTTCAAGGAAAATCTGTAATATGTATAAGTCAGACTTGACCACTTATACGTTTTTTTAATTTAGTAATAGAAATGCTATTCAGTAATTTTATGAATTTTAAAAAAGTAAAGTTGATAAATAAAGCTATGAATTTCTAGTAGACTGATATCTGTGTAACTTAATTTTAGAGGCTGGTAACAGAAACATTATGGTCTTACTAATATTATAAATGCGAAAGTTTAGATGGAAAGATTTTTGTTAGAGTTTGTAGTATAAACTGCTGAACGGATCTGGAAAAAACTATGCATAGATACGTTTTTTTTATTCCACACGTTAGTAACAGACAAAACATAACCTTCAGAACAGATGATAGGAAAATAAAAAAAATAGGAGCTAAGAATAAAACTAAAAATTTTAACTAATAATTTTATTATTTAATTGACAACTAATTGAAAAATAGAATATAATATTCATGATTACACAAAGAAAAATAATGTAAAATTTAACATTTACTCTATTATAAATCTCATTAAATAAAAAATAGGCGTTATTTTTAATCACATTAATTATTACTAGTGCAGTTCGTTCATTTAAAAATATTTGTATTATTCGATGACAATATTAAAAAAAAATTCATATACTTGGTTTTATAGACACCAGTTTTATATGCATTTTTTACTTTCATCAAGTTTTTTCCTCTTTATAGATAAGTTAATTTTTTTTTACACCTAAATGAAGATGTCGCCAATGTGTCTTTTAGAAATACGAACGAACTACAATTTTAAAGTAATAGTAAAATATTTTTTAATTCTAAGATTATAAATCGTTACATAATAAAAAAATTACATCTAATGCTACAAAATGTAATATAATTGTGATAAAAATATTAACAAAAATACTTCGTAATTACGACAAAATTAAAATATTTACTGAATTCTTTTTTATTCCTTGAATTTCTTAAAAACAAGCGTATACGGCTGAGCGGAATGCGTTATACCGACATGACCTTCCAACCCTGGCAGTTTCTCCCCTTTAGCCAAATTAAACTCGTAATGATTCATTAAATTAGTGAAAAACAGAAACAATTCAATTCTTGCCAAGTGGATACCCAAACAAATCCTTCGTCCAACTCCGAACGGTGTGAAATAATCAGGCAGATGTAGGTTGCCGTCTTTCAGGAATCTTTCGGGTAAGAATTTTTCAGGTTCCACGAATAAAACCGGATCCATATTGATTTTATTGATCAACGGAACGATGTGTGAACCGGCAGGTATCAATAAGCCATTGATTTCCCAATCCCTGTAAAATAAATTTATCTATGAAGATTTCGGACGTGACTCCGTCCGCGCGAAATTAGAAAAATAAAAACAGATGCAAGTAGCCTATCCGTTCTTCCAGACTATCTACATCAATGCCAAATTTCATCGAAATCCGTTCAACCGTTTAGGCTATAAACTCTAACAAACATCCATCCATCCATCTAAACTTTCGCATTTATAATATTTATATTACTTTAAAAACAAACAATTAAGTGTCCCACACTACAGACTAACTCGAAGAAATTTTTAATATTCTTTAATCCGTAAAGGCAATTTGTGTTAATCTCAATTCTTTTAATAGCTACTTTATTAGTTTGTTGATTTCTCTTACTTAAATTGTACTAAAGGTATCATTAGTAAATATTTTAATTGTGCTGCTAACATCAGACACAACTGTTATCAAGTGCTAAGTTACATATTGTAAAACCGCTTGTGGTAAAAAGTACTATAGTTTTACTTACTCAGTATTAACGTGGGTAGTTCCCAGTGGTACAACGGACACACGCCGTAGAGTTTCGTAGATAACAGCTTCAATGTACGGCAGCTTCTGTCTATGTTCCATGGTCACCATATTCCCCACGCCAACCACCTTTGCCAGCTCATCTTTGACCCTCGCAGCGACGACAGTCTCTCGTAGCATCATAACCAGAAGCCAAACAACGGTGTTCCGAGACGTCTCCATACCGGATGAGAACAAATCGTTCATAACCTGGACAATCTGCCTCACTGCAAAAGAAAGTCGATAGTTTTAATAAATCATACTTTTATCATATCTTTCAAAATTTGGGACCGTCAACATAAAATGTTTTCATTTTTATAACACAACAAGAAATATTACGAACTATATTCATTTGACTTTTATTCATAACTATAAAATTTAATTACCTAAACAGCTTTTTACTTAAACTGGTGTAAAAAAGCGAAATACTAAAAAAAAACATTAACGAGTGAATTTTGTTTGTTACAATTACGACGACGTACAAAATTATCATCTTCCTACGTCCGAGTAATTTTTACGTAAAAGTAAAAAGTAGACAAAATTAAATTTACCTGGTGTAACATTATGGAAAATTGTAGGACATTTTCCTTCTTCCTCCTTCTGTACTTGTTCTAGATAATAATCCAGAAGATCATTGTACTCCTGCTTGCCAGATTCGCTTCTCGTCTTGAGACGTTCTTCAATATGTCTTGCATGAAATTGACTGATGTCTGTTAGGTTACGATTAATTTCTTCTATCACAGCCTTTTTACCTGGCAGAACCTAGAAATTATAACAAATACGGTTTTAATATATTTTTATCAAAAACAATAAATCCAAATATGGTATCCAGAATGAATTAAATTTTAGGCTGGCGCATGTCATTCCAATAGGAAATATCGCTGTTGACTTGATGTTTTTTTTTTCAGAGTATTTGTTAGACGTCGACATTGTGTATAATCTGATACATGATCTTATTTACTTTTGATGTACAATTGTTTACTACCTTATGTAAATAATATTGAATACTCACTAAGTAAAACGGAAGATGTTCTCCGATGTGCACAGAGCCGTACAACTTCATACTCCTAGCGATCCTCTCGTTGAACACAATGAACTCCTTGTCGCCTTCCTCGAATCGATAGCTCATAGTCAGTAGACAAATGACGTTATGTAAGTGCCTTCCTAGTACTAACACGGGGTCGACAGGCTGACCAAGTCGATTCTTAATGTTGAAAAGCATTTCATCGATTTCTCCCTAAAAGTAACAAAAAAGTACAGAATTACAACGTTAAAATTAATTGTAAATGTGTTTAAATAACAAATTGGAAATAAAGATTACTGAAAATAAAGATGCGTTAATAAATTATACTTCATACAATAGAACTTGTCTGTTTTATTGTCTTGTATTGTTACAACCACAAAGTACATATATGTCATACATATTCAGACTAGGTTACACAAACAGTATCGATAATATCCCAATTTTATAGATAATTATTAACATAAATTAGCACATATTGATCTTATATTTGGTCAAAGTATTGTGTTAATTGCAATTGTGCTGTGGAACCCGTATTTATTTACACTTTTATATCTATAGTTTGCACAAATATGTTCATTGCACGCGGGTGCGTCGTGATGGATGAATCTTAGCATCCCTATGCTAAGATTCCCTAATTAGGATATACAGTAATACTGGTTTCATACAATAGTTGGCCTCTGTATATAAGCTGATGATGACAATAATGATGATGTAAAAATACTATAAATTCGTTTAAATTAAGAATATAATAAACTAGCTGTTGTCCGCGACTTCGTCCATACAATATTAAGATAAAAAAGTAGCCTATAATATGGTCGTCTATGTCAGCTACCCTTCAGGGAAAGCCCGGTCGTAATCGGCGCAGCCGTTTTGGAGGTTACCCGGAAGAACCGCGTCTTGCGGACAGACAGACAGACAAAAAAATTAAATGCGACTTTTGTTATGAGCAAAGCAAATACATCACCTTTCCGAAATCTGGAATTTTTCTTTCTATTACAAACAAACACTCCAATTACATTATATATAAAGATTATTACGTACCATAACGATCTGCTCCAACCGCTGATGCTTCCACATGCTTACGCCAAGGGCTCGGAACTTATCGTGCAGGAAGTGGCGCTGGCGTCGCCACAATACGTTCTCACTTAACACGATACCTGCACATAAGGTAGATAATACATAAAAGGTGAGATAAACGACGAAGTTACATAAAATGTAATAGGTAATGATAAAAAAAAACGAATTTTCTTTATCAAAAAACTTATGAAATCTAATAAATTATTAAAAAAAAATTATTAAAAAATTATTAAAAAATTTGTCTTGTTTGAATTATGAATGTACATGTGGGTACTTAAATATTTCGATAAAAGTGAATGTTTGTGAATATTTTAGAAAATAAATAAGTTCTCACGACCTCTTACATATAAGTAGAATAACCCTCTGTTTTTAATCGAGTACAGTCTGTACGTGACAGAATGTGAGCTTAGACAGATCGGATATAAAGCAATCTGTATGCATTCGAATGACATAAGAGCAAACGGTGGTTTTGAAAAACATATTATCATCTAGCCCTGAATAAAAAAAATATTGATTGTGTTTCTACACGTGAGCTTCCACGGCCGTAAATCTTACACAAAAATTGGAAATAAAAATAATTTTAACAGAAAATAAAAGGATATCAATATTTTTTCTAATATGTGTCAACAGTAGAAATGCACCGTAGCATTAAACAGTATCGTAAAACAACAAATGTTAACTAACCTAAGCCGCCCATCAGATTGTTTAAGGGCGTTTGCGGACGTCCTGTGGATTCGAATCTGTTGAATAAATCTCTTAAAGTGGTCGCAGAGCCGATGCATACGACCAGATTGATGCCCAATCTCACGGACGATATATCACCATATTTAGAATTAAGCGATAAGTAGTACGCGTCAGGTGATCCCCCGCTGATCCACGGCAGACGACCTAATAAGGGTATGCCCCATGGACCTAAAGGAATTAAAAATAAATAAAAAAAACTAATTTCCACTCCAATCTGGAATCATTTTAAATTAAAATCCACACTTACCCGGCGGTAGCCTCAAGTTATAATCCAGGCGTTTCTTTATAAACCAACAACAGAATAGTAAACATGATGTAACTAATATGAATCTAAGATAACTACAAAAGATGTATTCTAAAAAGATCATATAAATGTAATCGTACATATTCCAAAACATTATTAACTTTTACACGATACACAGTGACTGTTCGCCCAAAAACAATTTGTACTATCCGGTATACGGTTGACCAATACTATTATAAACTACCCTCAATAATTTTTAATACGTGCGTACGGTAATAAATCATATGGTAATGAGAATCAAAGAGCATTTGACAAGTGAATTGTGTAAATATTAAATTTGATCGAAGGAGGACAAATGTGAACCGTTTGCCAAGTGTTCAATTTATATACCCAGTAGACGTAGAAACGTGGCATTTTATCGTAGGATCTGAGATAATTATTGTGATGTATAATGGGCCATCATTAGTTTATTTTCCATTGGCCACACTGAACTTCAGAGTTCAGTGACAGACACCTTGAAATCATTATTAATCAACTGTGCCGGTATAACCTTTGGCATTATATAAGAATATAGTGTAATTTTGAACTGTAGAAGTATTACAACCATAAAGATAGGTTAACACTTAGATTTTTTGTTTGTGATTTTAACCGATTTTTATGAGACAGAGATAGTAAGTGCATTTACATTATGCGTTTACATTCAATGTTTATGTCCGTATAAAATAAGTAAATAATTTCCAAATATTCTTTTAGGTTATATTAAGAACTTAAAGAGAAAACGTCACTACCTAATCCATTATATTCATATTTTTGTAAAGATTTGTATTTTTATATGTACGAGTAATTTATTTGTAGGTATATTTTTTATTATTTCTTAATTTCACGGCTGCGAAGTCGGTAACTGGATTATTGTAAATCTACAATGAATAGAAATATTTTGGAAGTCCTTAAGAAAATACTGTAGTTCTAATAAAATTGATTTAAAAAACAAAATTTCAAGTGTAAGCAATTACTATGTTTTTACGGAACCGTTCATAGTGTGAGTAAACAGAATGCATGCTCATGCGCAGGTTAAAAACGTAACAGGTGAACGACACTAGCTCGCCTAGAAAGGGCATCGACCGCGAAGGTCGTGTTGTTATCCACATCGAAGGACTTGCATAAGCGGCAATCATGATTGGATAACATTATACCTATTATCTGTTGTAGGTGCGCTATTCCGGGTTCAATGCTTTCGCAAGGACGTTCATTCAAACGTGATTGAATGGCGCACGTTGTTGACTTTCGAGGTAAAGTCCAAACTGTCATATTCTCCGGTCGAATACCATAAGGTAATCCTGCTGTTTATTTTTTATTTTATCTTAAGATAAATGACATAAAATGGTGTTTAATTTGATATAGATAATGCAATCTTTACACGCTTGATTTGTAATTGTAAACTGTTTAATTTATATCAACCGCGCGGACACGTGCTAATTTTGTTGTACTCTACACGTGATTTATATTAGAGTTCCTTAATGCTCGGAAATAAGAGCTAAAATAGTTAGATTAGATGTAGTAACGAAGTAACGCAATTCTTGATTAAATATAACAGAAATTTTACTACTGGCGTAATTAAGCTATCGGTCAGTGAACCTAAATCTAGCATACACTGCAGAATGCAACGCAATAACTGACTCGACTTTAAATTTGACACGTTACTAGTTGTTATATATCAACCTATAAATATATTGCTTCAAATAATTCGTTACATTTTACAATTTTAAATTGTTCGGATGGTTCGGTAAAATAGTAAGCAGATAGAAAGTGATGAAAGCAATCTATCAATATCTCTTTCGTGTTTTATCTAAGAAAATGGGATAAATTAGAGATAGATACCTTTTGTTTCAAAATTAAACCTACTTTGTTGTAGTAAATGAGATTATAAGAAGAGAGAAGGTTCTCCTCCTACTCTTAGCCATAGGGCGCCAGTAGGGTTACAGCTCACTTATCAAATGAAAAGGATTGTTTTGATTTTATTGCTTACATTTTTAATGAAATTGACAGGAAAAGAAGATGAGATCAAGGAGTTTTCCATTTAATTTTTGTTTAGAAACAAGCCCATTCATCGATGTAACAAATTTTTTTCTTAATCTTATTAAATTAATGTACAATAAATGTAGAACAATTTCAAATTCAGTCTCAACTACTTGGCAATAGTGACATGATTCTAATGTGATATGCAATCTTTCGATAAAACGTCGAACGGTCGTTGACCTTTCCCAGAATCCGTAATCCGCACAACTAAGTTGCGGCTTTAAGAAATCAAAAATAAGAGAACTTTGAAAGGATTTCAAATTTAAGTAAAAATGTATTAGTCCGTCGTGTTATAAGGTATGAGACTCGACTGTAAGTCTGAAAACTTTATATGAAAATGCATACAGAAAAGATGTAATTTAAAAATCTAGTTTAGTTGTAACGTAAATTTTAAATTGTCCAAGTGTAAAGTAGCGTGTCCGTCGACTCGGTGGTCCGTGGATCCCATCGACATCGATCAGTGGGAGAGCTAGTAGCGAGGCAATCACACCCACTACCAATAAACGAATTCGGTCATACGAATTGGCGGTATCTGTACGACCATATTCATTTCACATTTCACTTTCGTCGAGTCGGTCCGACCACGGCGAACGGTCCGGTGTCGTTGACCCGTCGTCCTCTCGGCCGCGTGCCGATTAGATAATTTCCGCGCTGCGTTGTCAAAATACTCATGACCCAATGGTACAGTGAATACGATGGGTCAACGAACCCGCGCCGATCGCTCAACCACCGACGTGATCGGCGTATTCATACGAAATTTCAATACAGAAAAAAGAACGCTATCGGTCGACAATACCGTAATCTCCCAAATTATCTTACTGATATGTGTTTCTAGAATATGGGTTATGCATTACTATTGATTGCCTCATTTGTTTCGTAAAGTTTGATGTGCAGATTACACATGTCAATTGTTCTAATCTTACTCTTGTATTGCATAATGCCATCTTACGACTTTTTTGATTGCGAGAGGCTTTTAAGATAGGCAATTTTTCTGCTTAATGTTGTCTTCAGTGCCACTAATAGTCGGGTTGTTTTTTAGATTGTAATCACTTTCACTTTTTTCACCTTACCCACAAGATCACAAGAAACTTTTCAACAAAGAGCTTTTTGTAGTTTGTAATGATTTGTTAAAAGTACAGTATGATTTTTAAAGAAGGTGTGATTCAGTACCAAAGTGAACTTTTATATCAAAGCACGATATAAAATATTGCTTCATGAAAAGAGAATGCAATTTCCGCAGTAGTAATAATTTTATGATAAAATGAAAATAGATTTTTTGTTGTTATTTTGATATTGAGTTATGCTTTATTTTTAACGTAATGTAACTAGTTATTAATGGTTAACCAGACTACTGATTCTAACATCATTTTTATTTAAATACCTAGAGTAAAAGGATACTTTATTATTTTAATTTGCCTAACTTATCAATCCACGCATTTGAAATAAGTACAACCATAAGTGGCTGCACAAGTATCCTTGATTTAAGTACATCTGTTTAGTGGTACTTAGCACTGCTGATGGCGGTTAGATCATACTGCGAGGTTCAACAACACAATGCGATCAGTATGGGCATGCGAAGTCATACTGTCAATTGCGCATTGTAGCTTAGACTCCTAATCACTCGCAGATAAGATGCTAGAATCGCTTCATTGACGTCACTTTTATTTTTAAATTGCTGCCCTTATTTTAATATATTCACAAATGATAAGACATTCAAATATATTATTAAGGATAAGCGCCAATAACCTAATGTTTTGGGGAACGGACTACCGATCTTGCGGTCGAGGGTTCGAATCCTACCATTGGACTGTTGTCGTGAACCATATCCTAGCACAAGCCTAGAGCTTAGTTGGAATGGTTAAAGGTAAATTAACAAAAATCTACTAATATTAAAATAATGACATTGTTTTAGTATGTGATTGTTACAGTTGTTTTTATTTTTACGCAAAGTTCATTATTTCTAGGATCTAAAACACTAACGGTTAGCATCAATGAGCGTCTCCCTTAGTGTAGATTTAATAAGCTGTTAGCTTTAATGATGAAAACATAATGTTAAGGCTAATTGCTAGTATATTTACGAGGTGCGCACGCGCACATTGGGCGGTGAACGAACGCGCTTGTCGAGGTCGGGCGATCACCTCCCTTATGTAACTTGCACAGACTAAACACGAAGTGCATCTAACGCGGTTCAAACCCATTTCATTTAGAAATCTATCGAAGATTTTTTATTCTTATCTTCCCAACATTAAAAATTTAACAATGATCGTAACGAGATTTGGCGACTTAAATGACTGTTGAATTTCTTTCCTCCTCGGATTACGCAGTACTGGCCTTGCTATTACCTATTATGATATCCGAAGCCTCTTGTCTTCTGAAATTCGTCGTCTCTTAGTTCTTGGTTCCGGCCGGGGACAAAGCCCCCTTCTTTAGACCGTCTTTTGCTGTATATTAAATGTCGATAGATTGTGTTAAGTCACGTGTCCGATATCGTTCTTCGATTATGTTAGGATCGTGTTTGTTATTCCAAGATTGTCTTTAGAACTATTGATTATTTATATCTATTCTCTATGCGATGCACTAGGAATATAAACTGTTGTTTATCACTGTGGGTGATCTGGCATCATCAACCTGTCCTTATGAAGTATCAATTAGTATAATATAGAAATAATAAGTAACTCTTCCATACATCTCTATCAGCTTTATTATTTGAACACTCCCCCTTCCCGCGCATATCCTTTTACATACAATCCATCCATACTTTCTTCAGTCTTCCTTTAAGTTTGTAGCCATCCGCATTCAATCCCATTATCTCCGCATGTCCATACTACGCTTACCTTTTGCTTATTATTTTATTCATCACTTGTACTTTGAAACTTCCCTTAATTTTATCCGAAACTTAGATGTACTTTATAAAAATCTTTAGGGCCTGTCCCTCTAAAATTGTAAATTGTTTGATAACAATCCGTTTAAAACATGTGATGGAAATATTGGATTTTGTTACCTTATCTGACAGTAACGTCATTTTTAAGCTATCTGAGCGTCTATCAGCCATTGGTAGGACAGGCCCTTAACAATCCATTTATTTTAAAAATCAATATCATCAGGGTATTGTCATCATCAACTTGCCCTCATCCCTTATAGTAAGGTAAGTAAGTGTCAGTAATAATAAAACACAATTATTAAAATTGTACATATCATTTATTTATGGCACTGTATAATATTTTAAATCACTTATATAACATTAAGCGCGTCCGTCAGATCAAAAAACACATTAAATTAAAAAAATAATTTAATATCAACATCAAAATTGTATTGTGCTTGTATTGGCAGTAATTTTTTAATTCGATTCTCTTGTAAAATACTAGATTCAAGCCACATTAAAACTTATATTACTTCAGATGTTTTTTATTTAATGAGCGAGATAGTAATATTCCTAAAGCATGCATAATCTTAATTTTTTAGTAATAAAAAACCATGTTCTTTGAGTATCATAAACAAAAAGAATTTATCAATAATAGAAATATGTTCTCGATCAGCTAACATAAAAGGGCATATTATTCAATTCTTTAGTAGCCAATCGCGCCGCTCTGTTGAGAGTCGTGTTGCAGTGAGTGTGCAACGACTCTAAACATTCACTCTCTTTCTTACTCCACTTGGACTCCATGGCCGCTGAGAACGCGGTGCAAGAGAAAGTACACAAAAGACTGATAAGTATGCAGACTCTCATTCTGAGAGCATCGCTAGGCTGTTCTAGAAGGACCATGAAGTTAAAAGACGCGTCATCGAATAATATCTTCTCCACAACATCGGCGTGTTCCGGAAGATCTTGGAGGATAGTGATCAGTAGGCCGACTGTGTTTTGAACTATACGCGGAGATCTTGAAGCTAGAAACGAAGAAATCATACTAATATTATAAATGCGAAACTTTGGATGGATGGATGTTTGTAGCCTAAATTAGTGAATGAGTATTTTGATGAAATTAGTTTTGTATGTAGAGAATAGTCTGGACAAACACATAGGCTACTCACATTTGTTTTTTTTACTTAGACGCGGACGAAATCGCACGCGGAAACTAGTTAGTTTAAAATAGATTATAGAAGAATAAATTAGCATACAAGAATGAGCAATTACTTTTTTTATTTTAAATTTCTTTAGTAATTAAGCTTAATGCTTTAGCATCAAAATTAATTCCAGAGTCGGATTCATTTCCTATTTCTCGCTTTTTAACATTTTTTTTACATATGCTCCTTTATCCATCTGGAAATTGGAATAATAATATGAATAAAGCATGGTTATAATAATAGTTACAGAGTGTGAGGAGCGCGGTGAAGACCGGGTGCGCGGCGTGCGCGGCGAGCGCGGCGGCGAGGTGGCGCGCGGCGCGGGCGCGGCGCACGCACAGCCACGCGCACACCTCCACCATGCGCCCCGCGCCCTGCACTCTGCACCGCCACACGCATTCTATCTATCATACTGATCAAACTAACATTATAACTGTAAAAGTTCTTATGGCTGGATGTTTGTTACAGTTTGTAAGCTAAACGGCTGAACGGATTTCGATGTAATTTGGTACAGATGTAGATGATAGTCTAGAAGTTGTTCCATTCCATTTGAATGTTTTATTCCAACTACAATAATCCATTTTTAATAACAAGCTCTACACTGACGACACGTTTAGGCTATACATTTCCACGCTATTAATTTAGGGGGTAAATAAATTGGCAAAAACCACCATGCGGGAAAGGGACAAAATTACATGCCAAGGTTTCTTATAGACAATTCTCAAGTCAAGGGATAGAATATAGATTTTTTTTACATCCGAAGGAAACCGAGCGGAAATAGTTAGTTCTATCATTACAACCAATTATATACACATTTTCATCATCATCAGCTCAATAAGGGGCTCGGAATCTACTAATATGATATTAGTATTTATGGAATACATACCTGTCTTCGGCTTCATTGTCGTCATCAGTCCAGTCTTTCATCAACGAATTTATAGCGGCCACGAAATTATATACTACCTTAGCTTCTAAATATACCTGAAATTATAACCTTTACTTGTAAAATCATATACGGGGCAGCCTGTAATTGGACCATTGCCTATGACCGCATATAGAAGTGCGCTACTCGATTTTTAATTGTGCAACTAAACAGATGATTTGTCTGCAAACAATCGACAATCTCACCACAGTTTTGCGATAGTTTAGGCTTGTTAGGGAAGAGAAAATGGCCACTGTAAACACATTATTTTGTACTTACGGTCTTTAAGTCGGAAATCTGATTCTTCCGATTTTTTTTACAAAGGATTGAATAACTTTAAAACTACAGAAGATCGGGCAACGGGCTTTGCGTTTAAATGATGGCTATTGAGGTTGTCTACCTCCACAAAACCGATGATCCCTCCGTTAAGAATCACCCTGTATATTAAATTGTCAGTAAGCTTGTAACAAAGTTTCGTATTTAGAATAAGTTAGTAAATTGTAAATTTTTATTAAGGTAAAAAAGATTCTTAAACTAAGGAGCGCCCATTCTTAGAGTTTATTGGTAATACAGTATTAGCGCAGAGATACTAACATCCTGTATAGTGAGCAGCGTGTGGCGCGGCAGGTGGTGCGCGAGCGCGGGCAGCGCCAGCAGCGCCGCCACCGCGCCGCACACGCGCGCCCCGCGCCCGCGCCCGCCGCGCGCCGCCACGCCCACCACGCCCACCACCATGCTCACCTGCAACGTACACCACAATATACATACAACTGGCCGAAATTTTAGTTAATCTTTGAACGAATAAAGTAACTGGCAACTAATAAATTAGAGTACTGGCTGAATGTGCATCGCATGATAAATGTCAAGACGACGATAGAAGACAGATGACAGTTGTCATTAAATGGTGTAGTTGTGCTTTGTTATTAAAAAATCAATTGTTTAATTTAAATGTTTGCAATTCGATTAGAGTGTGTTGTAAAGTAATCAATTAAGATGGTAGTCAGCTAAGGATATTGTTTCTAATGTATATGTATGTGTGACATATGCACACCTTCAATGGAAGGTCTTGCATTTAAGTTTTTTCCAATGTAGTCATCCCTTAAATTGAATTTAAATTTAATTAATTAAGATATTAATTTAAATTAACTAGCGCGAAAATACATAGTATGTCGTAAATGTGAGGCTTTTGTTATATAAACGAGGATTATTCAAAAATAGGCTATGTTGCTGACAAACTACATAACAAGAAAAGTGTGTTTACCATTTATTATATTAATATAAATAAATAAACAAAGATCAGATATGTCTATACATTTTTAGCAAACATTAGTACGAGAATTATTTATTACCATGTTCAGTTGTGTTAGTGATTCTACATCTCCATCCATGACCTCAGTTATGTTGGAATTGAGAAATGCTTCCCATTCTTCTAATTCCATTGTAGAAGGCTCTTTCACTGTAAGTCATATACAAATTAATCTTAACTGCCTAAAAAAGTCACAGAAATTAATAAAAAAACAAACCTTCCAGATTTTTGTCATTCTTAAGAACGCTATCATTATCAGCAACTTCAATAACATCTTCTGTTTCCTCTATAACTTCATTCTTCTCAACATCTTCATCTTTATCTTCTTTAGAGCTGATTACTTTGTCTTTATCTATACTAGAAACTTCTAAATTCGGTTCACTAGTACGACGTCCTTCAGACTTTTTATCAAAACTTCTACTAAAATGGAATGATCTTTTTATACTTCTTGTTAATCTGTTACCTCCACTACCAAATCTAAGTTTATCTCTTGAGAATTGCAATATTTTCTGTTTATAAGACGGCGGTACACTTTTACTTAAACCCGAACTAACATCACTGCTGCATTTTGTCGAACTTTTAGGATTCTCAAGGCTATGGGAAGCTGTATCTCCAGATTTTGCTTTCTGTTTAACCTCAGGTATATCTTCTGCATCATTAACAATTTCGATTTCATCCATCTTATTCAAATCAGGTTTTTCTTCTTCTATTTTGTGCATTTCATGTTTCGGATTTACTGTCATTAATTGAGCCATATTCCTTTCTAGATTGCAAACGACCAGATTCGAGTTATTCATCACATTGAATTCGTGACGTAACAGTTTAGCATTAACAGCAGTGATTGGTTGAGATTGGTCTTCATCATCAGTTTTAAGACTATCACGAACACTAAAGGCACTTGTTGCTCGGACACTGTCATCATCAGACATTGGTACACACTCCATAGCTTGCATCACACCTTTAACATTGCGTAAGTCATGTTCTCTTCCTATTTTGATTGCCTCGGTTTCAGATTTTGTATTTCTGGAATTAATAATAAAATTTTAATATAAAACATTATTTAAAAACATTTTAAAATAATAGTAGGATAATAATTACTTTGTATTACTGCTTATTTTATCTCTTTGTAGTTGTTTTGCCTCTTGCTGGCTATGTGTTAATGGTTTAGTAAATGGTGATTCACTTTGGACATCCTCAGGCAGTATAAGTATGTGTCCTAATACAAATGGATGCTCCAAAATTTCAGGCCAACTCATTCTTTTACCAGGATCTTTATGCAATAAACCCTGAAAATATGTTAGAAAAACAATCATTATAAGTTAGCTGTCGCCCGAGACTCCACCTATAAGGAATTAAAAAAAATCAAGTAACCCATGTATGTCAAGATTATCCTCTAAATCTATGGCAAATTTCATCCATCCATCCATCTAAAGTTTTATATGAGCATTTATAATAATAGTTAGGAGTAAGATTAATATAATACCTGTAAAAATGATCGGGCTTCCATGCTGATAAAACTAGGCCATTGTACAGGTTTGTGTCGAATCATGCGGACAAGCTGCCAAATGGACATTGTGCAAAATGGCGGCTGTCCAGCCATCAGCTCATACACAATACAACCTAATGACCATAGATCTGCCTGAAAGTAGTTAGATTGTATTGGAGTCAAATTGCTTAACTCACTGTGCGGGTGCGACCCATGGTGGGTCTTGGCCTCCGTCACAATAGAATTCACTACATAATAATTTGATTTTATTCTATAAATTCTATTACATAATTCTAATTGTTGCTTGTAACTTTGTCCATGAGGAATTTAAAAATACTAACTACTATAGCCTTTTATAAGCTATGTAACTCAGCAATAACATGGTTTTTTAATCATGAAAGTTTGATTAAAATTGGTCTAATAGTTTTTGAGTCATTTCAATACATACAAAAATACAAATCTTTCTTTTTTTAAATACTACTATACTAGCATAGATTTGTCAATTTAGCTTTGGTTTATTTGTTTTATGGTATGGTACACATTTTTATTAACACTAAAATTATTTCTGATACCTGATGGTCATATGGTTTCTCATCAATTAACTCTGGGGCCATATAAAGTGGAGTTCCTTTGATTGAGGTCAGAATATGTGTAGCATTAGTCATAATGCGAGCTAAGCCAAAGTCACACAGCTTTGCTCGGCCAGAACTGTCCAGTAGTACATTCTGAGGCTTTAGATCTCTGAAAAAGTTTTGACATCATCATCATCATCATCATCATCTCCTTATCCTATCCCCGTAGGGTCGGCGCAACAGGTTTTTGTCCTCCACATAACTCTATCATACGTCATCTCAGTCATCACTCCCTTTTTGATCATGTCACCTTTTACACAATCCATCCATCTCATTCTAGGTCTACCTCTACCGATGTACCCTTCCACACTCATAACTAACATTCTCCTTGTAACATGCGATTCATCCCTCCTCATAACATGACCATACCATGCTAACCTTTTACTCCTAACCTTCTCTACTATTGGGGCTACTCTCAAACTTCCTGACATATCTTAAGTAATATTTTTTAATTAAGGATTTTCACGAAATACTTGGAAGTTATAATTGTATTGACACACTATAAATGTTTATGTTTATTAATATTACTGTTAATAAAACATAAATAAAAACTATCATACCTATGTAAAACTCTATGAGAATGTAAGTAATATAGTGCTGATACTAAATCCCAGGTTATTTTCTTAACCTGTTCTTCATTTAAACATCCTTCTTTAGCAAGTATGCTGTGTAGTTCTTTCTCAGCATATTCTGTCACAACAACTAACTCGGATTCTGTGTCAAAACTATCAATCATCCTTATTATGTTAGGATGATTTAGTTGCCGCTGAATATCACATTCTTGTCTCAAATTTTTCAAATCTTTCGGCGACCGCCCTTTCTGTAATCATAAAGTTAGGCATTATAAAGGGATATGAAACAATATAAAAATTTGCATACGCCACGTACCTTTCTTATAACTTTTAGAGCTACTATTGCATCGGATTCTTTGTGTTTGGCCTTAAATACACGACCAAAAGAACCTTCTCCGATAAAAGAAATAACGATATAACTATCCATATTTACAAAGTGTATATTCAATTAAAAAGTAAAACATAGAATTTTTAGGTTCTTTCAATGTTTTCTCATCAATAACATAACTCGATGTTAATTACACACTATCACAATTGAAATTATACTTTTAATGGTTTAAATGTTTTCGCAACATGATTTCTTTTGTGTTTTAAATCCAAGTAATATATAGTGTAAAACCTGTTTTACAAGAATTTTAAACAAACAAAACAAAGCAAACTTCAAACTTCAAATCCTGGAAATGTCAATTTGACAGAATAACTTTTTTTACTGTCAAATGACGCAGCAATCGATACAGATAACGCAGCGACAAGTGTTTTTATGCTGTTTTTAACTAATTTAAATTGAAATGTCTACAAAAAATAATTTCAAAGTTAAAAGCATTTTAGACAGGCTCTTGGGTAGTAAAACTTAAGAAATGTCTAAAGTCTAATTCTCGCCTTATTATACTATGAATATTTATTTATAATAAATCGAATTACAATAGTGGAAATGATAAACTGCTTCATACATTATGTTTTATTGCTACATGTCGTTTTAGCTTTTATCTTGTTCAAAAGAAGTTATTCCAACTACTTTTAGATTTATGATGTTATCGGTTTTAGCTTACGAAAAAAAATCGCGTTTTATTAATTTTACTAGAACAAAACTGTGATAATTTAAAACAAAACAATAGCTTAGATTTCATTATAGTTTACGATTTCACATATTAAAAAAACAGTCCAAAAAACTGTTACTTTTCGGTTTCGTAATCTAATAAAAACTAATTTTTGAAACTGAAAAAGCATACCTGCCCAATACAAATTAGATTGGACAATACTTTAGAAAAAAAATAGTAAAATGAAAAGATTGTCTTTTCGGAATTCCCACTTATTTGACTAGATCAGTAGTATTAGATTTTGAAGGGATTCTTATATTATATCCTTTAAAGTGCTTAAAAAAAGACAATTTGAATAACAACGAAGTGTAGTTGAAAAAAAATGATGTATGGTATATTGTGATAAAATGATCTAATTTTACGTCTGGGCTAACACAAGGTTATAACCATCAATTTTGTTAGGAGCCCATCACAAAAATAACACGTATACCGTCATAAAGATAAAAAACGAATATAATTTCTAACAACTTTGAGTTAGAAAGAAAACTATTAATTCTATTGTTATTTATGAGATCTATTTATAATATGATATTTAAATTAAGATCATTGTATAAAACAAAGTTTATGATTTTACTATGAACAGCATTTAGTTTCAGGATAATAGAAAAAGAAATGTTTTATATTTCCCTGTTTTTTTTTTTCAATCTTATTACTATTACTGTGTGGTAAAGATACTTATAAAATCAGGTCATTGGTTTGTGCTTTTCGTAATTCGCTTCGGGTTGCTAGGTTGACCGTAGAGTTACTTAACTTTCCATGTCCAATTAGAATTAAAACATTTAACGCAAATTACTCATAAGAAATCATGTTGTCAACCCTTTCATGACTCTTGATGAAAATGGCATAACAATTTTTGTTTAGATGTTTTGGCAGTGGAAAGTCACCGTTGACGTTGGAAAACTTCAGCAAAAATACGTTTTAAGCTCCTTTGTTTTTTTATAAATCTGTTTTAATTAGAAATTATTGAGATTGATGTTGGACCTATTTTCAATGTGTTTGCATCTCGACGGTATTAAAAACTTTACGAAATCAGAAAGTCGTAAAACGTACCAGGAATGAAGAAATTTTTGAAACTCTTTAAAATTACTTACACTAGAAAACATTTTATCTACGTGAAATACTAACTCAAGGTTTACAATTGTAGCACTGGTATACAAAATGCAAGAAACATCATTAGTCACGTTCAAGACAATTAAATTTCAGCCAATTCCTGTAACATTTGTTTAAAATTAGTGTTAACACGAGTAAACAAATTAAAATACACAATTCGACGTTGTGCGCAATCGTATTTATGAGTATGCGGCCACACCCATTCGGGATGCTATCGAAATGTTAAATTAAGAACAACCTGTAGATTAAATTCTTTATAAATCTTCGGACACATTAAACAAGCAACGGAGACCGCGGTATCGACATTAAAAAATCGAAAAAATCCGGCCAACGTTTGTTAATGCTTTGTTGTCTATGGTCTATTTATAACCGATTATTCGGCAACCAACTGTACGACGTACCTAAAATTCGGGATCGTATACTAAAGTTGCCAAGCGCTCCACGTTATATTGGACAATTCCGTGCCGCAACTTTTACCGAAATACACACGGACAGAACTGATTCCATTAGCTTCAAGTCAATTAAATATATGTATTGTAAACACATTGCCTATTGTAAAGGGAGTGTCCCCTTTAAAAGATTAGCTTTATGTGCCACAAGCATCATACTGATACACTACAATAAAAAATAGATAAAAAATTAATTACGTTCCTATTTTTTGCCGATAAAGTGTAATTTTTTTTAATATTTATCAATCTTAAGCTCCACTATCGGCGAATAAAATCCAAACTAATACTGCCTATCGACTTGGGCGACCTAGGGGCGAATTCTTTTTCTGATAAAAATGAGGTATGTTATCTTCGGGTCTTATGATGCCAGTCTGTGGCTATAATCATATACATGCTGTTGTAATCGTTATCATTCGTTTAGTTGTTAAAAACAGATCGATTAGATAGAAAATATGCGAGACCGGTGGATTCCTAAACTACCCGCGCCCATCGCCGCCCACGCTCTGTCTCGTTTGTTTACAGAATTGTGCACGCCAGTAAAATAATATGTTTTAACTTGAAATAAATGCTTTCGTGCTCGACTGTACAGCGGTATGTTGTTTTATTGTGTCCGCCAAGTCCGCCAGATTCTAGAAACTGACCATCTGATCGAGATAGTGTCTTCTAAGAAACTCTTCGTTTATAATGTTTAAACTAGTGATTTTTTCTATTCAGATTTTTTAAAGAATTAATAACTGCTTTTTTAACAAAATTATTATTTTTTCCTTTGATTAAACAAACTTACGTGCTTTTTACCGTGCTATATGAATGTTGCATTTTTATTGATAAGGGCTTTTTTATTTACGGCACTGTTTCTAATTTCATTATTTTTGGAGCCTGGTCAGAAACATATAAATCGTGTTGCGAAAATATATCGAATTAATTTCTTTGGATACACCAGAAAGGGATTAAAAATTAAGAAGGGATTAAGAATTAAGCTGATTGGATCTCCTCCAGGCCAAGGTTTTTACATTTCTTCATAGACTATATATTCTGATACAAGATAACGTTATTTAAAAGCGTTCAGTTATTTTAAACGTATTACATCTATCAATCAAAATGTATCAATTTCAATATTAATCAGATGTTATAAATTATGTCTTCAGTTTGTACTACTTTTGGTGAGCTATATTCTCTCTCGAGTAATTTTCGTTAGTGGAAGAAACAGACGTTCTAATAAAATTACGCGTTTAAATTCGTGTGCAGGGATATACGCCAGTTCACTAAAATTGTTATGTATTCTATAACTATATAGTGAAATACATAATAACTAGGTAATAGTTACTTAATACTTCTAACCATAATTTGCTATTTCTTAACTACATTTTTAAAAATTATAACTCTCGAACATTTCACACTGTCAAATCTTAGTTGATGTCTGCAATCCAAAAAGTTTGATGTAGGATGTCCTTCCTATACTTTCCCAATAAACTTATCAATATCTATTCCATTACATTTTCTCCGAAATGGCTTAAAAGGCAATTGTTACTGCGAAATAAACGTTCACAGTCCTTCAAGAAGAACTAATATATTTAATGCAGACGCAATCACTTTTTGGATGGCAATAATAAATCAACGTAGGTTAAGATAATCGTACAAATGGTCGTTTTGTAGCTTCCACGAATTTATATAATTTTATGATCTGTTTAATTCAGTACTCGAGTAAGAAAAACAAACAGTCGAAAATCTCCTATCATTTGAGTATGTTCGTAAAAATTGGGATAAATTATAGCTTCTGACGTTTGCGTTGGCACTCGCCCATTGTTATGTTTGATATACCATTAAGTGGAACAAAAAAAACAAATCTTTAAGAGCTACGTTACCCTGGAACATATGCTTTAGTTTCTTTCCTTGATTTTTTATAATAAGCAATAGAAAGTTTTGCATGAAATACAATATGAGCCAAACTCACATTATCAAATTAATCTTTATAAAAAAATAATTTGTGAAATCATATTGAAGAAATAAAAACAAACTTATACGTACAAACATTGATACATAGGTTAAACGATATTAGTATAACGTTGTAAACAGACACCTCCCCTGCAGAGAAGACATCAACATTAAGGCAATCTAAGAAACGACACACATCAGATGGAAGACATTATTCTTGATTTTGATTAGTACAAGTGTAAAAATAAAGTACTTTTGAAAATCAATGATTTCGTATTATACGTAGATAATAAAGAGCAACAAGCTAAAGAAACTAAGTTTGGAAACAAATGACTAATGCATGATCTTTTGTTTTATATATTTTTTTTGATAAAACAAAAAGGACGAGGTTATTGAACTATGTTCGAAAAGTACGTTATTGCTTTTCATTAGAGACGTAGCCGGTGCCAATTTTCCGGCTAGTACCGACTCCGGCACCCGCTG